ATAAATTGTATTGTATATTCATGCGCATATACCCACATCTCTTGTTTGCGATAAGAAATATTCACGTTCACTTATCTCGTTGTGCATTGTTTCATGATTTTATATCTGTGTTGTTTGTTTTTTTTTCTTTCTCTTTTAAATCTTCATTGTATATAAATATATTTGACTCCTTCTAACATGGACGTTCGTTTAAAACATAGCTTTTCATGCATGGTCGTTGGACCTAGTTTTGTTGGAAAAACTGAATTTGTAAAACGTCTTTTAAAAAATGCATCCACCATGATAGATAAACCACCGCACAAAGTGGTTTGGTTTTATAGTGAATTTCAACCCTCCTACCTGGAAATGAGTAAATCTATTCCCAATATTCAATTTCATGAAAACCTCCCCGCTGACTTTAATAGTCTGACCGATAGCGAACGTCCTATGTTATTTGTTATAGATGATTTGATGGATGTGGCTGGCGACGATAAAAGGGTGGCAGCTTTATTTACAAAGGGGTGTCATCATAGGAATGTAAGCGTAATTTATATCAGGCAAAATCTGTTTCACCGTGGGAAGGAATCAAGGACCATTTCATTAAATACGCAATATTATTGTTTATTCAAGAATTGTAGAGATAAATTACAGGTTACATGTCTTGGGAGGCAGATGTATCCGGGGCGACAAAAATTCTTCAGGGAAGCCTACGAGGACGCTACCAAAGAGAAATGGGGTTACCTGTTTGTGGATCTGAGAGCAGACACTCCGGAGGAGGTACGATTGAGAACTCATATATTCCCGGGAGAAACCCAAGTTGCCTACGTACCTCGGGTATAAAATCGCACCTTACGCTACAATCAGCTTTATTTATTCAACATGTCTCGACGGATCAAGACCCATGCGGCGCTGTTAAAGACTCTGGCACATTGTACAGCTAACCAGCGTACACAACTCATCAAAAAGCGCGGACAAGGGGTTTATAGATGCCATTTGTGAATGTGTGCTCAACGTGATACGTGGTAACGTTAAAATATCAGGAACTCAGAAACGAACATTGGGTAAACATAAACTCAAGTTAAGAAAACTGTCAAACCGTCAAACACTGTTGAAAGAAAGAAAGAAAATTTTGAATCAACGCGGAGGATTTCTTGGATTGCTTGCAAGGATAATAGCCCCTGTACTCGGAGGTATCACATCGTTGCTGTCCGGCGGTAAATGAACTATAATCAATCCGATATGGAGCACACGCAGAAAATGGTTCTTGTTCCACAGACGATGCTCAACAGGCTACAGAACAATTCAACTACAACATCGTCTGAACAGCAGGTCAATAATCTGGACAGTCAAATTTGTGCTATTTTAGAACGCGGTGACATGGACGAACATACAAAAGCCCAGTTATATTCGCAACACTTCCATCATTATCTCGAAGCCAATGATGCATTGAAGAAACCGTTAGCCCTAGAGCTTATTGACTATACAATTTCAACCTCCGATAGTACCTCTTCACCGAAGGGCTTAGACGCTGTTTCGCACTACACGCCTCACGAGACAAAAATAGACCGTGATATATTGGACCATGTACCAAAAACATTTGCAAAGAGAACCAGTCAATTGCTGCAAAAGTTGAAGAACGATAAAAACATTGATTGGACTGAAAACGGTCAGCTTATCATAGCTAACAAAACTATTGCTGGAAGTAACATTTGCGACATCATGTATGACATATTCAGGGAACGTCGTGGCTATACCCCTACTGGCAGTGACCAGTTTATCTGTGTATTGGCGAATATGAACATTCCAGAGACTTTTATTAGCAACCCACGACGACGTAGCGATCTACAACGGTGGAAACGAAGCGGCAACCCCGGATCCAAGTCTACCCCGACAGCGCCATGGGAATCTCCCCTCTCCGATGTACAGCACTCGACACCTCCCAAAACAAAAACTAAACGTGTAAAAGTAAACAGAAATGGTCCTAAAACCTACCAGTGGGATCCTTATTAATAGACGGGTGTAAACACTATGTCTTATTTATTTTCTCTCTTTTTTTTAATTTTTTTTTCTTTTTTTTCTTCTTTTCTTTTTTTTTTCTTGTCTTTTAGTAGCGTTTATAATAATTTTTTCTTTTTTCATTTCATAATGAATTGTATAAAGTTTAGGCTGTGTAAAATAATATTGTTTATACGACTAGAAACGTATACTAAAACTAGATGGAATTTTGACTGCGCGCAGTCGAAAATGATGCCTCCGCCATAGAGCAATTTAAACAAGTTTGGAGTTTAAATCTCCAGTGGTTCTTGAGATATCATGATAACAATCTCAATGTATGGAATTTCATAAGTTGACCTCTGTGACCCTTGACCTTTGACCTACGTGCTCCAAAATCTAATCAGATTGTCTTCCTATGGTGATACACACTATCATTAAGTTTGAAGTTTAAATCTCCAGTGGTTCTTGAGATATTATGATATGGTGATACATACTCATTAAGTTTGAAGTGAAAATTCTCCAGTGGTTCTTGAGATATCGCGATAACGATCTCAATGTATGGAATTTCATAAGTTGACCTCTGTGACCCTTGACCTTTGACCTACGTGCTCCAAAATCTAATCAGATTGTCTTCCTATGGTGATACACACTATCATTAAGTTTGAAGTTTAAATCTCCAGTGGTTCTTGAGATATTATAACAATCTCAATGTATGGAATTTCATAAGTTGACCTCTGTGACCCTTGACCTTTGACCTACGTGCTCCAAAATCTAATCAGATCGTCTTCCTATGGTGATACATACTATCCTTAAGTTTGAAGTTTTTACATCTCCAGTGGTTCTTGAGATATCATGATAACAATCTCAATGTATGGAATTTCATAAGTTGACCTCTATGACCCTTGACCTTTGACCTACGTGCTCCAAAATGTAATCAGATTGTTTTCCTATAGTGATACACACTATCACTAAGTTTGAAGTTTAAATCTCCAGTGGTTCTTGAGATATCATGATAACAATCTCAATGTATGGAATTTCATAAGTTGACCTCTGTGACCTGTGACCTTTGACCTACGTACTCCAAAATCTAATCAGATCGTCTTCCTATGGTGATAAATACTATTCCCGAGTCTTAAGTTTAAATCTTAAATGGTTCTTGAGATATTGTGATAATGGTCAAACGGGACGGACGTACGGACAACCCGAAAACATGATGCCTCCGGCACCACCTTCGGTGGCGGAGGCATAAAAAGTATGTTTTATGTTCGTTAAACTGGCGAATCGGTGGAATGACGAATCGGTAAAACGGCGAATCTGTAGAACGACGTTTATCTTATTGTTTATACTATAACTATTTTCTTGATGTTGTTTTTTATTTTATTCATTATTTAAATCTTGTTTATTATTTTTCTTGCTTGCTGTGTACCGTGTATATATTCGATGGTTATACCATTTTCATACTTAAGATAGGGACAGCTTACAAACACAACCGTAATGACACTATGCAAGTTGTTACCTGACTTGATGTATATATTGTATATAGTCTACATGCATTATATGTTTTTTAGTGCTATTCAGTTTGAAAATATAAGACGTGACAACGTAAGAATGACACACTGAAACAAAATGATTTCTTTACGAAATTTTATTCAATAAACAACACAATTTTAAAATATTTTTAATACATTTTACAACTGGTTCTCTCGTGTATTCATTGTTCATGTATTCTTTTATATTTTAAGAGTAGACGTAACGTGTACTATCAGAAAGAGGGGCAGAGGAAGAGAGAATGGGTGTGAAAGATGAGAGACATATAAAGAACTTTTTTATTATTATTTTTTTGACAGAGGAAAAAAAGATGAAGAAAGAGAGAGAGGGAGAGAGAGAGAGAGAGATAAAATGCATGACAGGAAAGAGAAATGTAGCGAACGTGTTCGTGATGTAGAAAGAGGTGTTGGTGAGAAGAGAGAGGAAAAAGATAACCGTAGGATTCTGATGTATTTCGTACTATAAAACACTTATAAATATATAATGATATATATTAAGGCATAGTCTACTTAGTATAAACTTAAAACAAAATGTATATTTACAAAGTAAAACAAATCAACGTGTAGGATAGGCGAGCGGATTATTTACAATTCATCGATACTTCGTGCAATTTGCCGAAGAGTGAAATTAATATCAAGAACGGGCAACGATGTATTATGTTTCCTGTTAAACCAATCATTTATCTTCATATCGTTCCTACTGTGGTCTTTCCCAAACCCCTTTAAAATACCCCGCGTCGTATACCCTTTACAACGACATGAGATAAAATATACAATATTGTCCACACACGGAAGAAAGGGTTCCTTGAAGTCTCTTTTCATTATAGTCCATTGTTATAGATTTTCCCATCATAAAACTATAAAGCTTCCTGTCATAATATAAAGGGGCGTTTCCATACGAGTAAAAAAAAGTCCCCTTCCCGTCGTTGAAATATAACGCTACCCAGTGGGTACCGGGGCTGGTGCTTGGGTCTGTATTTACGACGTAACATCCAATATTGTCATTCACCCTACGTGGAAGTTGGTCCAAGGCGAAAACGCCTTTAAACTGGTCTTTCATGGCTAGGTGGTTCACGAGCATGTGTTGAATTTGTGAAGTATCCATCCTTTTATTTTCTCAACCCTGATAATCATAAATGAGATTGCGGCTTCTATCGATCTGGATCAGTCCTTGGGATTCTGAAAATACGAGGCAATTGACCGTGTTGGGGAGGGGTCTGTCAAACTGTAGTTCAAGACGTAAATTACCACTTTTAATCAGATTTAAATGACATCCGTCTGACACATCCGGGGTAAGGTCAAAAGCGAATAAAGTGAACCCTTTAGGATATTCCTCTCTATTTATATCCAGGCCTTTGTCCGCGAAAAGACGATTTGTACCCATGAATAAGGAATTGTAAGCGTGTATATAGTGCTGACCCGCTCCCTCTTCAAAGCAGGGCCGTAAAGGGCGCATGGGAACCGTTTCTCCATCGATCGTCACTCTGATATATAGTTGATATTCAGATGTTTAAAGTTGTAGGGGTTTTTGGCATAACTACCGTTGTAGGCGTCGTTGTCAGTTAACCCGATGATGATACGGTTCGGTAGTTGTCCTAAAAATAGGTTGTCTCGGTTGATGGACATGTTTCCAGTAGGAATTGAGAAAGAGCGTACATCCACTTTGTTGAGTGGATATTTGGCAGTTGTTTTCTCCAAGGCCTTGGCATGGGTAATCATGATGGAAGGGCTCGTCTTGACTCTGCGAACGAAGAGGACAGCAGATTCGATCTTTACTTTGTAGTCCGCGTTTGCTTTTGAAGAAAGAAGACAAAATGCGTCTTTACTACGATTCAACTTGAGTTTCAAATCAACCCCCGGTAATAATAATCTTTCTTGAAAGAACGCGTCTGCGTAGATGGGTCCCAGCATAGAAAGAAGTCTGCTCTCAGCGATGAATCCGTGTCTTTTTGCGAGTCCTTGATTCCCATGCTCTCCTTGCAATAAAGGATTTACCACCTCCATTTTCCCCGCTTCATCCTTGTAATACAGCTGCTGCGTAAGCTGCGAGTCTTTTGTCTCCTTGCTGTAGTGTAGTAACGTCTCCATTAATGCCCTATAAGGGTATGTATTGGAGGGTTGTGATACCAGTTTTTCATTCAACATGACATCCACCTGACTAAAAAGTGAAGGGAGGAAGAGATTCACGGGTGCTACGGGGTCATCGGCGGTGATAGGCGTATTGTCTGCTTTCAATACTCTGACAGAAACTTGTAGCATGGTTTGCGAAAGATCGACATACTCTTCGGCCGTTCCAGCGACGTTGAATTCAATAGGTCCTGTATCGGTTATATTACTGACGGGCTGATATTCTATAAAGGGTCCTTTGGTAATACTAAGTTGAGTGTGTGGTACCGTGAACAAATCAAGTTCAGATTTACAAGAAGCGTCGCTTTTTTCATGTAAAAGAGACATGTTTATACAGTTTAACTCCAGTCGTTATTAATCGAAAATATCTTCCACGCGAGGTCTTTTCGTACGCCGGCCTTTAGCTTTAATGACACGTTTTCTACCCCGCGACTGCTTTTTAACATCTCTCACGAGTAGAAAGCGAGCACCTCCTCTTTGTTTCGCTTTTGCCTTCATTTTCTTGCGCACACCTCCCATAGCTTTACCCGCCAAACGTTTTCCAGCTCTCTTGACATTTCTCTTAGCCGCAGATTTCAATGATTGACCGCTGAGGGTGTCTTGCATAATATTGACACCCGTCGACATGGCTTCCTTTCCCAATGCAAAGGCCCCTTTCTTCAATAAAGGAGTAGCTGCATGAAAAAGACCCTTGACCAGGCTCCCTAGACCGTGTCCACGATTAATCGATAATATCATAAATCATATTTTGGGACTATACGTGCATACATACTACTCAGGTCTATTTCATGCATCCTACGCTTAAAGCCTATCTGCACTAGTTTGGCCAGGAGGGATTAGACCTCCCTGCATGGTCACTGAGAGGTGGTTATCTCATCAAATCAGCTCTCAATTAACATGAGAAAAAGGTGACCATGGGGGACCAACGGTCACCGATTAGGCATTGTTTGCTATATAGAGGGCGCAAGTACCTGTAAGTGGTGTAGTGGGGCTTTAAAGCTCATCCTCATGCTGGCAATTTGATAATTTGCAGATATTCATTAAATTTTCTGAATTCCGGGCAAAGTTAGATATAAACAAAAATGTGCAGAGACAAAGGAAGTACGAAATACTATCGACTCTATTAATACCATACATTGTACCATTGATAATACTATATAAAAACAGAAGGCAAGCAAGGGAGAGTGTTGGTGCCTCACAGAAAAGAAACATGAATTAGAGGCTATGATAAGAAAGGGAAAAATGAACCATAGACAATATGAATACAGAGTTAAAGAGGCAGCAAAGCAAAATCTTAAGCTTTTGAAAAGAGGAGAATCATTCAAATGATTCATAAGCGCTGTGGTAAACTTTGATACAAGATGATGATAACAACAATATCATTATTATTATAAAACAAGAATGTCTTTTAAACACCCTAAATGAGGTAGCATATACAATTTCAATTTCATCGTGCATATCATTAATCATACAGCTTAACAAATTGAAAGAGAAGGTAGAGAAAGATAAGAAGAGAGCAACAGAAAAAAAAGAAGAGAGCTACAGGGCGAAAGAGAGAGGGGAAAGTGGAGGGATAGGGAGGAGAAAAAGAAGAAGAGAAGAGAGAAAGTGTGAGATGGAGATGGAGAGAGGAAGAAGTCAGTGGACAGGTGAGAATGTTGAGAAGGAAGGAAAACCAAATTGTCTGCTTGGAGCCAAAACGGCATTAATTCACACTGTATGCTTTATTGCAGAGTTAATGCCCTTTTAGCTCTGAACAGACGACGCATAACATTTACATCATTAAATTGCATTTTCAATAGGAGGAAGAGTAAAGAAATAAGTCCTTAGCACATTTATAATATGAGCTACTGAAGTATCAAGACAGAGGTTTCTGTCTTCTGAAAGGAAAGATTCCCACAATATTTTGTAAAATAAAAGACTTCAGAGCATACATCTAGCAAAATCTTGAATGAATAGTAGTTAATGGTGTGTTCTAACTCTTGGTCTAGGCAAGAAATGGACAGGTACGTCATAATAGACAGAAGATAGATTTATGACAAAGATGGCAGACAAATATAAAAGTCTCTTATACAGTGGAGAAAGATCTATTTTTTGTAATCTTTCAGCATAAGTAAGAGAATTTGCCCGATCATACAATAAACAAAAAATTGTGTGAAACCTCTTTGAATGGATTCCGGATACCATAAATGGATTTTCTGGTGAAGAAGACAAATGGGTATTCCATATTCAATTACTGGTCTGTAGAGTGCACAGAACATTCATCTTAGAATGACAGAGTTTCTTGAAATAACAATTCAACAGATGAATCTTCATCTTCATCTCTGAATTTTAACATTTTCGAACCTAAATTTCTAGCTACACTGGTTGCCAACAACAGTCCTTCGTTCATCACACCTTCAACTACACATAATGATGAGGGCAAAATTTGCTGTTTAGATCGATTGAATGTAATAAAAACAACTAAAAGCAACCAATCAAAACCCTCTTCATTAATGATTCAGCAATGTTCTTGTTATTACCGTAAAAGCTAAGCTTCTAGACTCATTGATCACATACACATATATGTCCCAATCAATGACAGATGGATGTAAGTGTTGCTATATGTGTTTAAAATATTGTTATTCTGCCAATAACTAGACAAGATCCAAGGATTTACGAGGAAGAAATCCATATATAGGTCTGTATCATTGTTTAAGATGATAATAGAAAGGGATTATTTTTGTTCCTCTTAGCTCCCTATCTCCCTCCTCCTCTCATTCTTTCTTTCATGGTCTCTCATGCAAAGAATGTAATCTGACATCTAGAGGGGGTAAGATTGTATACCCCTCCCTATTGTCTTGGGGTCATCAAAGGGGGCCCGATAGTGGGGAGGGGGTAATGGGTCCCTACCCTTGAAAGTTGAGAAAGTATTTAAGTGAGAGAAGTATAACAGGTGTTGAGGTTCTCACAGTACATCGGGCAAGAAGACGACATCAGTCAAAAAGGTAAGATGGATACAGTTTCTGTAATTTTGCTTTCTTTAGAAACAAACAGCAAACTATATATTTCTGGACAACGTACGAGCCAAGATTACATTAATACCGTAATAATGAAAGAATGTATCATTTAAGAACATATTTTTTAATATTGTTTGAATTCTTTAAGATTATTATTTCATAGAATATTAAAGATATTAATTAAAAGTCTATATAAAGCTTAGAAGTCTATGTGTTGCAGAGTTATTTTAACATACTATTTTTTGTTTTAATTTCTTTGAAACAAATTTAAATCTTGGTTTAGGGTAATACAGGATCTACCTCAATACAGTTATAGCAGAGCAATATTCGCTGCGTTATCATTCCATTTAAATTAATTTTTATTAATGTATAGCTAAGAAAATAAATATATATATATATATATATATATATATACAAAAAAAGGAAGGGTGTAAAAAAAAAAGAGAACAGAATATTGTAACATTTTTCATAGATATATCTTCATCGATACACTCAACTTGATACTCATGTTGTCAAGGTGTTGACATATTTTCCTAACATTTTTCGGTAAATAATAACATAGAAGTACATACATTCATTAAATATCTACAGTGTGCGTGAAAGTCAAAGTATAAGCTTTCACTTTCAGTGAACATAGAGAGAGGGGTATGATAATTTAGTTGTAAACTCTGAAATGCTGGAGATGTACCGTGTCAGCTGAGATTCTGAGAAGATGACATTTCAGTGTATTTCAAACATCTGAGTGTCAATTTGCAACTTTGTATTTAATTGAATAACACCAGCTCCCTCCTACCATATCCTGTACACCAATCAAACAAGGAACTTCTTGCATATGTACACATCCTCAGTCAGACCACTTTGTAAAACTGGTTTCTTTCCTTCAAACTTTTCTGGCATAACATGGGCATTATCTGGATAATCTATTCCAAAGCTTAAATTGGAACAATTTAATCCCCAACTCTCTTTTATCCTTCACCCGGTCCTCTCCAGTCTTTTTCAATTAAACAATAGATTAACTTGAGGATAGGATGTTCTTTAGGCCTAAGTAAAAGGAAGGATCAGAAAGTTTAAGTCAAATAATATGTTCTTACATCTATTGATTAGGGCCAACACGGGCCAACATGTTGGAACAACAATCAGGTTCATTGTAGAAGATAATTAGCCCACATCTTGGGTGCTCCAGGATAAAAAGTATATTGTATCTGACTTGATCCTCTTATGGACCAGTCCTGACAGCACATGCAGGGCTTCCTTCATTTATTTTACAGGTTCAATACTTCAATCATCATTCAGATTGCTCTAAACAAACTCAAACACAAATGAATTTTTCTTACATTGGGGTCATATAATGATTTTTAAATACTTGTAAACATAGATTGAAAAAACAGGTTGCAGCAGGATTCCTAGTCACTTTTAAAATTAACCAACTTTATATCCAACCATCCGAAACTTTATCTTTCTTTAAAATTTCATGCATTTCACAAACCAACATTTCTTATCCATTTTTTGGCTCTAGAAATATGAAATGTAAATAATGTCTTTGACAAGTACATGCTTAGAAATGTCTGCTAACAGTAACTTTGGTTGTGTGAAGCTGTAATCATTAATAAAATGCTCCATATGATTAGATAAAATAAGAACATATAGCAGAATGAATTAACTTAAAATCTGAAAACTTTGATCAGGGTAACTTCCAGGAAAAATATCATGACTGTTGAATAAAAGTAATGGGAGAGCCTGCATTCATATCAATATAACTTTATGAAGTTAAAAGCACAAATGGAAAATTAGACCTTTAATAGACAATTTCTCTAAAAGAAAGCAGAGAAATCAGAGAAGGAATTGAAATGAAATGTCAAAATCTGATAATAAATAAGAATGTTTTGAATTTTTAAAATTTGTAATCACCATATGTATTGGCCTATCAAATAAGCCGAATCAGTAATGTCTCCGTATACCGGAGAACTTTCCCATTTGTTTCAACACACAAAATGACTAAGATGTCAATTTGTCAAAATGTATGCCTCAGGAGGGTCTTTTCTTTCTACAGGATCTATGATGATATGCCACCCTTGATATATTTTGAGTAGTGCCCCAAGCAGGAAAGCACTTGGGAGAAAAAGATAAATCAATTGTATTTTTGTACAAAAAAAACAGAGAGTTGTCCATGGCTACATCACAACAAACTTATGAAATTGGCATTTTGAGATTTGTATAGATTTAGTGATCTCATATTTCAAACATTCATAAGCCCCTTATCATTTGGTCCAATTTATTTCAAACTTCCACCATTCTGTCTCTCTTATTGTCTGTTTTCATACAAATGTACTTCTTACAAGAGTTGGATTGCCCTTTACCTTTGTATGTATTGACAAACAGTCAGTGGCATTATTATAGCACCTCACTATTATTTGTACACCTTATTTAAATTACTGAAATTGACATTTACAGGGTTCCGCAGCAGGGAGAAAAACATGAATTACCAAATCTAAACTTTTTAAAATTTCCCTTTTTAATTTTTAATTCCATATTCTTATATTTGTATTGCCTTTATTTCATCTTTTCTGCCATTGCTTTGGCCATGACAATGAAATGGGGTGTTTGATTTTTTTTTTTTATAAATGTCAA